TCCTCCTCCTCATTATTATTATTATTATTATTATTATTATTATTATTATTATTATTATTATTATTATTATTATTATTATTATCAGACTCTGATGCTAAGGAGTCCTACTCCCCCTCCCCACCTGGAAAGAAATCTGTTCCAAATGCAAAACAAAAGCAGAGGAGTTTCAATTTCACTTTTAGTTTCATAGCAGTGACCAGCTTTAGTACAGAACAGTTGAGCTAAGCCACGCCCAGGCTCCTTGCTGTCTCCTTCTTGCTCACACAGCAAATAGTATTTCAGTTTCCAAGCAGCCCTCAACTCCCTCACACACTGACAGGACACTAGCCAGATGAATCCCGATGGATGCTGGGAGACAGAAGCAGAATTTCTTCCCCCCTTATTTTCCTCCCCAAAAACTAGTTAAAAGCTAGTTAAAAAACAAACCACATATCCAGAAGACGGCAATTCAATGAGTTTGCACTGAGGCTGGCCTGCCCTTCTACTTAAGAAAGATATACAGAAAGTCCTTGATTTAACGACTGCAATTGAGCCCAACATTTCTGGTGTTAAGTGAGACATTGGTTAAGCGAGTTTTGCCAACTTTTACGACCCCCCCTTTTTTTTTTTGCCTCAGCGAATCACTGTGGTTTGATAAGTAAGTCGCCCAGTTGTTAAATGAATCAGGTTGCAAAAGGGGATCCCGCGACCCACAGAGACGCTGCGGCCGTCACAAAAACGAGCCAATGGCCAAGCCTCTGAGTTGCATTACATTACGCCGGGGGCATTAAGTGTGACAGTCATAAGTCATTTTTTTCCAGTGCTGTCGATACTTGGAACGATCACTAAACGAAGTCAAGGGCTACCTGTGATCTTATACGGTGCTGCCATGTCAGGAGGGGAAAATGGATTTAATTTTCCTATTGGAATTGCAATTTCACTGTGATTTCTAAAGCTCTTTTCCTGTTTTATTCCTCTGATGGCTGGCTTACCGGGCTGGTGGCGTCCTTGCCAAGGCTTCCTTTACTGTTCAGGCTTCCAATTTCTGTCTGGGAACTGGACTGGGACATTCCTTCAAAGAAAGGCCTGGGAAACAGAGCAACAGTGGGATGAAACGGCTGCCCCAAAAAATGGGGTCCCAAATTTTCCCAAGAACGGGAGAGGGTTTCCCCAAGGAAAGAAATCTCCCTGGAAATAGCCGTAGCTCTTAGACTTATATGCCGCTTCGCAGTGCTTTACAGCCCACTCTAAGCGGTTTACTGAGTCAGCCTCTTGTCCCCAACAATCTGGGTCCACATTTTACCGACCTGGAGCCCGGTGAGATTTGAACTGCCAAACTGAAGTCAGTCGGCAGTCAGCAGAAGTAGCAGAATCATCTATGTCTGTCTGTCTGTCTGTCTGTCTATCTATCTATCATCTATATCTATTTATCTATCATCTATATCTATCTATTATCTCTATCTATCTATCTATCTATCATCTATATCTATCTATCAATCATCTATATCTATGATCTATATCTATTTATCTATCTATCATCTATATCTATCATCTATATATTTATCTATCATATCTATCTATCTAATCTATCATCTATCTATCTATCTATCATCTATCTATCTATGTATCATCTATATCTATTCATCTATCATCTATCTATCTATCTATCTATCATCTATCTATCTATGTATCATCTATATCTATTCATCTATCATCTATCTATCTATCTATCTATCTATCTATCTATCTATCGTCTGTCTATCTGTCTGTCTATCATCTATTTATCTATCATCTGTATCTATCTATATCTATCTATCATCTATATCTATCTATCCATCTATTATCTATCTATCTATCTATCTATCTATCTATCTATCTATCTATCTAT